TTTTTTCCTTAAAGGGCCAGAGCTGGGGTAGGTAGGGCAGCCATGGAGGGGCTGGGCGAGTGGGTGGGAGTTGTGGGGCTCATGGCAGAGCTCCCCTCACAGTGTGGGGCAATGGGAGGCTGCAGAGATTTCCCCCCTGCCCAGCTGCACCTGGTGAGTGGGGCTTTTTTTTAAAGGGACAGGAGCTGGGGCAGCTGGGGAAGCCATGGTGGGGTGGGCTGGGGGAGTGGGCAGGGGTTGGGGGAGCAGGGAGGGGATGGGGCCTGGGGGCCCCATGGTCCCCTCCCCTGCCCCCTACTTACCAGCTCTGTGTCCAGCTGCAGCTCCCTGCTGCAGCCACCAGGGACTGTCCAAATCATCGAAGCTCTCCAAATCTTTTCCGAAGATTCGGAGAGCTTCGAATCAATTCGGACCTTTTTATCGGTCCCCTGATTCGATTCGGATTTGGAGATTTGGCCACCAAATCAGGCCGAATGTCCTCCAAATCAAATCGCCACCTGAAGCTTCGCACAGCTACTGGCTAGAGGACTCATACTGTTTTTGTAGGTCTTTCAGACGAGCATTTAATGAATGCAGCACAATTTCATTTCCTCACTCTGCTGTGCAGCCTCCATCAATTTCAGCCAATGAATCCAAATGAAGTATTTCTCCATAAATCGCATTTATTTTTAGAAATTACACTTTTTAATTGCGCTGCTGTTTTGTTTGTTTTTTTAACATTTCATTTAGCTTTTCCATGGGGTTTTCTGCAGGCATTTTCTCTACATTTTCTGCGTGGGTGCTCCCAAAAAATCCTTATTATATGAGGAAAAGATTCTACCCATGACAGATAAGCTTGCATCCTCTAGTAAATCAAGCTGTTCTGTAGCGTAAGAATACATATGGTAATTTTGATTAGTAACTCTATATGGATAGTGTCGGTGTCTTCTGCTTGCCTGAGTATGAAAAATTCTGTGTTAAATCATATCTCCCATGTGGTATACTGTTTATATGTTTTACCGTTGTTCCGTTATTATGACATTGTTGTAAAAAAGAATTACTGACCAAGTTGTCTCAATTAAAAAAATGCGGTTTGAAAACTGGCATTTTTCCACATTAAGTAACAGTTCCATTAGCTGTTACCGTGTCAGCCTCAGGACTCTGCATAAATTGTATTTTAGAAACAAGACAAAGTTGGGAATAATTTGGAGATCTCTGTTATTTTTTTTTATAGTGGCTTCTGGTACATTTACATCTATCATTCTACAAGTCTGATGACATATGAATGTCTAACCTCCTGTTAGCTTTTGGCTGGGTAAGGAGTAGATTAATTTTTTGTGGGGTTTTTCTTTCTCTCTTTTTTTTTTTCAGCGAGCTCCCTCATCCTCCTCAGAACCTTGTGGCCGCGCTGAATGCCTCGTACAGCCGCAGCGTGATGCTTTCCTGGGTGCGTCCCTTTGATGGAAACAGCCCTGTTCTCTACTACATGGTGGAGCTGTCTGAGAACAGTGAGTAGAGCCATGACACAGTCCCACTCTTGTGTTCTTAATCATTCAACCTTCATGCCAGGCTTAGCTTTTACCAGAACTGTCGACAAAATCCTACTGCCACTTTCCGATTCTGAGAGAGACCGGGAATAGGAGCAGCTGGGTTTTAGTCTCGATTAACATCACACCACAAAAGTTAGGAAAAAAAGAGGGATGGTCTGGTGGTTTCTGCACATCCCAACTCTGCCAGTGAAATGGTCCGTGACTTCAATGTCTTCGGTGCCTCAGTTCCCACCTGTAAAATGGAGACGGACATCACTTATTTCTTCCTCTGTTTGCCTATCTTGTCAATCTATTAAAAACATTCTTAGTATAATGGAGACCCAACTCAGTGAGCGCTTCCAGACACTTGGATAATATCAATCATTATTTTAATGGTGCACCAAAACAGCTGAGCGTGGGTTGGTAAGGATAACTTGTGCACTCAGCCTTCAAGACTCCTACCACATACGCATTCATATTCATGAGGATTCATGTATTACCCTCTGCTTTCCCTTGGCTGTTATTTAATACCCTTCCTTTAAGTAGGTTAGTGAGGTTTGTGGCCATAAATTATAATTTGGCTAATGTGGTCCCAATTTTCAAGAAAGGGAGAAAGGAGGACCCAAGTAACTATAGGCCTGTAAGCCTCACCTCGGTGCTCAGGAAGCTCTTGGAGAGGATCATCAAGGAGCACATCTGTGGGGGGCCTGCAGGGGAGATCATGCTCAGGGGCAATCAGCATGGGTTCATCAAAGGCAGGTCCTGCCTGACCAACCTGATTGCCTTTTATGACCAAGTAACTAAATCCTTGGTTGATGGTGTCGCCGTGGACATAGTCTTTCTAGACTTTTAAGAAGGCCTTTGACACTGTCTCTCACCCCATCATCATCAATAAATTAAGCAACTGGGGTATTGATGCCTGCACAGTTGGATGGGTAAAAAATTGGCTGATGGGGCGCACCCAGAGAGTAGTGGTGGACGGGTTGTACTCAACCTGGCGAGATGTGAGCAGTGGGGTACCCCAGGGCTTGGTCCTTGGGCCCGCACTGTTTAACATCTTCATCAGCGACTTGGACAAGGGGATGGAAAGCACGCTGTCCAAGTTTGCTGATGACACTAAGATGTGAGGTGAGGTGGACACACTTGAAGGGAGAGAGAGGCTGCAACTAGGTTTAGACAGACTACAAAAGTGGGCAGATGAGAATAGGATGGGGTTCAACGTAGACAAATGCAGGGTGCTGCACCTTGGGAGAAGGAATCCACAGCTTACACACAGGCTGGGGAGTTCCCTTCTTGAAAGCACAGAGGCGGAACGGGATCTTGGAGTCATTATTGACTTCAAGATGAAGATGAGCCGCCAATGCCAGACCGCAGCCAGCAAGGGCAGCCATACCTGTCATGCATCCAAAGGTGCATCTCAAGCCGGTCCAGAGAGGTGATCCTCCCCCTCTATGTGACTTTGGTCAGGCCACAGTTGGAGTACTGCATCCTGTACTGGGCACTGCACTTCAAAAGGGATGTGGCCAGCCTGGAGAGGGTTCAGAGGAGGCCACCCGCTTGGTGAGAGGGCAGCAGGACAGGCCCTACAAGGAGAGACTGAGGGACCTGAACCTGTTCAGCCTCAGCAAGAGGAGGCTGAGGGGGGACCTACTGGTTGCCTACAAACTCATCAGGGGAGATCAACAGCAAATAGGCAGAGCCCTCTTCTCTCCAGCACCACCTGGGGTGACAAGGAACAATGGTCATAAGCTGATGGAGAATAGGTTTAGGTTGGAGATCAGAAGGCAACATTTTCCAGCAAGGGTGGCCAAAATCTGGAACCAACTTCCCAGGGAAGTGGTCCTCGCCCCTACCTTGGGCAGATTCAAGAGGAGGTTGGATGATTACCTGTCTGAGGTCTTGTGAACCCAGCATTCATCCCTGCCTTTGTGACCCCAGCATTCATCCCTGCCTGTGGCAGGGGGTCAGGCTAGATTATCTGTTCAGGTCCCTCCTGACCCGAGCTACTATGAAACTATAATGGCCTCTAGCCTCATATATCAAAAACCTAGTCACTCCCAGTTGGCTAAGAATCAGCCAGTGTTTCAAGGCTGTACTCCCAGTGCCTCATTAGAGTTTGACTGAACAGTGTGGCACATAGAGTCCTCTTTGCCCTGTTTATTGGTTATCTTTTCAATTCTGATCTAACCACACACTTTTTCTGCCCTCTGGAAATTAGCCCTGCATATAGGTTAAACCAGCAGCTGGTTATGTCTTCCAGCTGCAGGCCAGATTGACACAGCTCAGGTCTAAGATGGGCTGGCACTAGGGCCTGGCTGCTGCCATCACTGCTACTTCTGCTGACTGCCACTTTTCTCCACTGCCCAACTGTGGCATGGGGCAGGCATAGCCCCTGCCACTGAATGCCACCAAAGTCCCTCAACTCCATGGGCCAGACACAACAGGTCCACAGGCCAGATTCAGCCCAGAAGCCTTAGGTTGCCAGCCTCTGCATTAAACAGTGACAGTTTAATGAATAAAACCTATTTTGCCACCTGGGGAGTTTGATGTTGGGAGCACTTTTAAGGATTTCACTTTGCAGGCTGGAACATGAAGATCTTCAGCTTTCAACGTCCTGTAATGATGATCTTGACATCCACCCGGCAAAGTGCAGGTCTCCAGTCCCAATAAAGCTTTGAGGTCCTTCATAGGACCATTGCCATGGACGTAGCTCATTAGGAGATTCTTGAAGGCTGATTCCTAGCCGATGTAGGCAGGGGCCCCTTAGGACACTGGAGTATGGGAGCAATATGATCCCTGCAGGAGGTACTGGTAAGACGATAAGAAGCCTTAACTTCTACCAGCTGAAGTTTGCCGGCCTCAGGTGTAGCCACAGCTAGGGATGCGTTGTGCTATTCCAGTCTAGAGGTGTCAAGGGCACCATCAGCTGGAAACTGCCGTCGTTCACCTTGCAAAATCCGTAAAAGTCTCGGTGAAAATCTGAAATAGCTCCACAGAAATTATGCAAATGATCCTTCAAAACACCACAGGATCCTCTGAACTCTCCTACACCGTGAGATAGATCCAATAATTTTTAGCTGATGGCACTGTAATCTACCACTGAGAGAATCTCATTATCACAAATCACAGAAGTGTATACTTCAGCTGTGTATTTGCAAGAAGCCAAACAAACAAAAAGCCATAGTGACTGTGAACCGAGCACCCTCTCGCCCCGGGAGAATTGTCTTTCCTTCTGGGAACATTCGCCGCCGCTCCCGGCTTTGAGGTTTTGTCTTCAAGTTTCTCCTTATTTGTCTTGCATTCGTGTCCCCTTGCTACACAGTCACTTGTGTACATAGGAGACGGGGAAATCTGAGTTCTTGCTTGTTTTCCATTGTCCCACAGACGCCAGCAAGCCTGCAAGCAATGTCAGCAATGAGTTTGATTTGTGTTTCTTATATTCATTTTTACATAGCTTCACATTCTCCAGCTTGGGGGGGGGGGAGAGGGGGGGCAGGGATTATGCTGTTTCTGAGCATTATCTTTATCAGACAAGTATATCGTTCAGGCTTAGTTAATAACAACAGATTTCCCACTTGAGGTACTATGGGCATTGTCTCTTCTAGTTTGTCTCAGTGATGTTTCTGAATAATACTGACATATGATCTTGCACTGCTGACATAGCTTTGTCTCATACACGTTTGTAGTCTAAGTCTCTCTTGTTTTGCACAGAAAAACATTTTTTTCCAGGTTTTTGCTGCCAATTCCTTTTGTGCCACAGGTGTCTTTTCAGATACAGAAACTGTCAAGGATTTTGCATATGCCCTCCATGAGCTCATTTGCTTGTGTTTGGAGTTATTTTACTGTCATCAGCCGTACAATATGTTAAGCATTCTAATCCCAGATTGCTGTTATGTAGACAAAAGTTGGTGAGGCTCCATGTTATTTTGTGGTTGCCAAGGATGCACAGAAGACTTTGTTTTTGATTTTTGCAAAGAGTTTAAATATATGGGGTTTGTTTTGCGGCGTTGGAGTTGCCAAGATGTATCCTTATTTTCTTAATTTTTCTGTGGGTTGCTGCAGAGCGAATACGTTTCTAATAGCTTTAGCATCCATTACATATTTTTGAATGCATACAGTCAGTGAATACGTAATAAAGGTATCTGTTACTGAAAGCTAGCCAAAGAAGGCTCAAAATAATGAGTGTAGATTTCTGGGCGCTAATTACTGGCTGCATTGAAAAGAAGTGGATCATTCTACCTGGCATGGATTAAAATTAAAGCTCCTTTCCATTGGTATTACTTTAGTAAAGAGAGATAAAAGCTGATTTTAATTGAGGGAAAAACAGCAGCAAATCATACACAAGAATTCCTGAAATGTACCTGACTCTGCTGAACAAATGTATGGAGGGCCAGAGTCTCATCTACCAATTAGGCATCAAAGTGGACTTAGGTGCCTCAGTGCGATTATATTCCACACAGCTCCAGGCCTGAAAACGCCATTGTGCATCAACTTTTGTAAAATGCAGTCATCCCACCCTTAAGACTGAGTCACAGAAAAGCAGCAAGGAGGAAGATTACCCACCCACCTTGTGCATTAACTGATTTTTCAGGGACTTGAACAATGGGGAATAGAGTCTGCCTTAGGTACTCAGGTCCATTTACGTGCCCAATAGGTGGAACAGAGTCTGGCTTCTAATGTTTATAATAGGGGTGCACCAGTAGAGATTTTGGGGGCCGATAATGATGGCTGATTTTTAGGGAGGCATATTGGCCGATACCAATCCGATTTCCGATACACCAGCGTCCAGCTGGTAAGTCTGTTTTGGTGGAAGGGGTGGGAGAGGGAAGGGATGTGAGGGGCCAGATGAACTCCCCCCATGGTGAAGAAGCTGGGGCAGGCACTGCTCAGCCAGAGCAGGATGGGATGTAGGACAGACCTGCAGCTCCTCCAGGGGACGCGGGATGGGGGAGCAGTTCCTGCTGCTGTGTGCACCCCAGGAGGGCATTGGGGGCGGGGAGGGGTGCCCCTGCATCTTTGCAGGGCGGAGCAGGGCGGGCTGCAGCTGCGGGCTGGGGCCAGGGCTGTGCAGGGCTGCTCTCGGGGTGAGCAGTGGCAGCACTGGGTTGGGGGCTATGGGAAGGGCTGCAGCCATCCCAAATTTCTCCATATCCCCCCTATAGCGCCGCCTCTGCCCGCCCCGAGCGCAACCCACCTCTGACTCCCTGGAAAGAGCCTGGTGTAGGCCCAGCCCAAGCCCACAGCTGCAGCCTGCCCTGCCCTGCCACACATAGATCCATGGGGTATGCACCTCCCTCCCATGCCCTCCTGGGGTGTGCGCCACAGCAGAAGTCACCCCATCCACCCGCTGCCCCCAGACGAGCCATGGCTTCATCTGCACCCGCCCCATCTCAGCTGGGCAGCGCCTGCCCCAGTCCCAGCCCCACTGCCTTCCTCACCACAGGCAGTGTTGATCTCCCCCGCCCCCCCCTTTCCTCCCCACTTCCATTCCACCACAAGAGACTTACCAACTGCACACAGCTCTCCAAGCTGCCGGGCTGTGCTCCTCACTGCCTGTGTGCCACGCTGCAGCTCCATGCACGCACAGGCATTTATTGGCCAAATTATCAGCCACATCAGGCCAATTTCCGATACAGTCGATTTTCTTTATATCGGTGCCGATCCAATATCGGACCAATGTATCAGTGCACCTCTAGTATATAATGAAGTCTGTGCACTTGGCATGATGCAGTAGATGGGAAAGATGATGCATTTTGATTGATAAAATACGGAAGTACAATCATTAAGGATTCACTTCTATACACATACCAGGATGAGAATCCCTGTTGACCATCAGGTAACAGTATGCACTGCTGTCATCATTTCTGAATGGCTTGTGTTTAGCTGCTGTTGTGGTGCGCGTAAGAATTTTGTGGCAGTATCTTCAAAGAGATCCATTTACTTGATTGAGAAGGTGTGAAAGTTTCTGGAGCTCATCAAAACATATTGCTAATTGGTAACTGTTGTAACAAGTGCATTATAACGCTCGGCTGAACACTGCTCAGCTGAAGGCTGCTGTTACGACTGCTGTGTTCTTGGATATCAGGAGTCTTGAGACCTAATGGGATAACTCAGATTCACTAGGTGAAGTGCTAGGGAGGCCTGTATTAAAGCCCTCTTCCTACAAAAGCATATGTGCATGCTTAACTTTAAGTCATGAGTAGTTTGACTAAACTCAGTGGGATTAATTAGATGATTACAGTTAAGCATTGTGCATTAGCCTTTGCAAGATTGAGGTTTAAACATGTATGCCTCCATGGCTGTTGTTGAAAACCGACTCGTATTCACATAAGACGTTCTCCAAGGATGCTGTTGGTTTCAATGGTCTTAGACCAAGCAGTTCTCTGAAATCAGATCGGAATAATGGAGTCCCACTGAGTGGTTCAGTCCTCACTCGAATAGTTCACAGTTTGAAATTATTGTAACAGAGGTGTGTTTGGGGGCCAAGAGAAAACTCAGCACCTTCCAATAGCCCGTGCTGTACAAGAACTTGGAGAGTTTGGCCTGTTCAGTGTACCAAATTGAAGGCTGGACAGGGATACACCTGTTGTGTCCAGGAGGAAAGAGAGTAATTTAGGCTAAGGAGCCAATGTTAGCGCAAGAAGACTTAAGTAGACACTGACCGTGAATTAATTTAAGATGGAAATTATAAGAAGATTTCTGACTGTCGGGGCAGCGAGGTTAGAGAACCACCTTCCAAAAGGAGTAATGGAGTCAAAGATGCTAAGTAATTAAGATGGAGCCTGCAATCGGGATAACGTGATGTGGTTGCATACAATAGCGGGGGCTTGCACTTCCTGACCCCACATTTTTTGTAAACATTTCATTAAAATAAAAGGCACCTGAGCAATAGTCCTGTATCTGTAAAGAAGAGAGGTACAGGATTTCAGTTTTGTGTTGGGAGGTCTTTCAACTCAGTAGATACCTGGTAAGAATAAGAAGCAGATTTAGAATACCTCTCAGTGATCACCTGCCACAAGTGCATGCAGAACGGAAATCCTTTGACATACACAAATTAAGTCCTGAAACCAGAAATTGAAACAGCAAAATATAGAGCTGTTCTTCACTTTCTTAGTCTCAAGCAGTTTAACATAGGGAGGGAAAAAACAGCATAATTAAAAAATAGCCAGCACATTGGAGGAGCCCCGACAACTACAAGTGAAAATTTTACAGCCAACAGCAATTACAGGGGCAGAGGGAGCAAGCAGCGCTCAAAGTATGTTCTGGGCAGCTTAAGTTAAATGAGATTAGTGCTGGCTGTTCAGTATAATGGAGGTTGATTTAATAGTTTGACCTGGCAAGTTTGTCACCATGTGACTCCTCCTAGCTTTCTATGCCAGAAGAGTGACAATAATCCCTGGGGAAAAGGGAGGTGGGTGTTGAAATTTTTATGGAACATTTTTTTATGTCTGAATTGCCCTTCTACATGGTGAAACAAGCTCCTTTGCAATTCTGGCTTTGTATGTGTTTTAAGATAGAAGAGCGGGCTTTCAAAGTGTTTGGTTTATTGATTGTCAAGAGAAGAATTGCCATTTAAATTTTAAAGATACTCTGCAAACTTGCTGTATCCACTGCTCCATGAGCAAGCAAATCCTCCCCAAACCACTTTTCTTTACAAATCAGAGTGCCCAGGAGATGAATAGGGTTCGTTTATATTAGTTTTCAGTTTAATCTCTCTTCCTGCCAGATCTTTTATCTTCCACCAGGAGAGGAAAAAGAATAAATAAAGTATTCTACAGATGCAGCGTATAAACAGAGCGGAGCCCCAAGGTGCCGGGGAGATTAATAGGCCTTGTTGTTGAATCAAACTGTTCACTAGATCGAGATGCTCGAGTTAAGCACTCTCAAGTGACGTTTACACTAGCAATAAACAAATTAAACGGATTTGCTCCAGGAAAAGGA